GGATAAATCTCATAGAGATAGATCCAATTTATTGACTATTTGTGTGGTCTTGATTGGGAACCTGAGTACAGACCCAAATCAAGAATAAATGAAGAAATTAATTATGATGTAAACATTAAAATGATTTATTGAAATAAATGATGAGAATAATTAATATGAGTTAAATATGAGAACCTTTTTGAATAAAGGTCAACTGAATAAATTTTTACTCTATCAAAGTCAACCACCCAAAAATATGATGTCGGAAACAGTATTACAAATAATTATGAAAAGTATATCGTTGAATAGAATTCGACTGTCTGATCGCAACGGTGCGAACGGATATCAATTTGGAGAAAGTTGGATCAAAAAGTGTACCCCGACTGGAACCAAAATTGGTCCCAATCAGGGACACTGTGGAGACGGCGCCTCCCAGCGCACTGATTCATTTCCTACGTAGAGCTATAGCTACAGGACTTGTCTTCTTCTTCCTCACCACTCTATATAAGAAAACCCAACTCACTCAATTCTTCACCATTTCTCACAAAACTTCTTCCTGTTCTGTTGCTCTAAGTAAGGAGAACGCAGTGGTGCCGTCAATTCGGTGAGAGGTCGCCGGAGTTGGGACTAATCGTCGCCGGAAGTTTCGCCGGAAAATTTCCAAAACCTCCATTACGCTTCGAGGTAAGCCCGTAGATATATCTAGTGACTAGAATGTTCGTATAGATCGTTTCTACGTTCATAAACGGTTGTTTGGTTGAGTTTTGTGTTTGACATGCTTGAAGAACTAAGAATCATAAACCATGAAATTGATGTTAAAATTATGAATTAATGATGCTAAAATGATCCATGAACCTTGAAGAACATTTTTATACACTTTAATTGAAGTTTGGTGAGTAAAAGTGACATTTCCGAAAGTTGGCTCGAGGTAGAAGACGATGGATAATTGATTATCAACTTGAAAATCGATTATTCATCGTTCTGCAGATTTTTGTAACAAAGCTGAGCAACAGTCGATTATCAGAATGTGATAATCGACTATCAGCCCTCTCTGAAGTTTGATAATCGATTATCAGAGTGTGATAATCGATTATCAGCCCATTCTGAACATCAGACAGTAGATTATCAGAAGTGACAGTAGACTGTC